CGTGTGGCCTTCAGATTAGCACAACAACAGTGCATAGAGAGCTTCATGGAATGGGTTTACATGGCCGAGCAGCTGCATCCAAGCCTTACATCACCAAGTGCAAGCAAAGTGTCGGATGCAGTGGTGTAAAGCACGCCGCCACTGGATTCTAGAACAGTGGGGACATGTTCTCTGGAGTGATAAATCACGCTTCTCTGTCTGGCATTCTGATGGATATGTCTGGGTTTGGCAGTTCCCAGAAGAACGGTACTTGCCTGACTGCATTGTGCCAAGCGTAACGTTTGGTGGAGGGGGGGTTATGGTGTGGGGTTGTTTTTCAAGGGTTGGGCTTGGCCCCTTGGTTCCAGTGAAGGGAACTCTTAAGACATCAGCATACCAAGACATTTTGGACAATTTCATGGTCCCAACTTTGTGGGAACAGTTTGGGGATGGCCCTTTCCTGTTCCAACACAACTGCGCACCAGTGCACAAAGCAAGGTCTATAAAGACCTTGAGCGAGTTGGGGGTGGAGGAACTTGGCTGGCCTGCACAGAATCTTGACCTCAACCTGATAGAATACCTTTATGATGATTTAGAGTGGAGACTGCAAGCCAGGCCTTCTTGTCCAACATCAGTGCCTGACCTCACAAATGTGCTTCTGGAAGAATGGTCAAACATTCCCATAGACACAATCCTAAACCTTGTGGAGAGCCTTCCCAGAAGAGTTGAAGCTGTTATAGCTGCAAAGGGTGGGCCAACTCAATATTGAACCCTACGGACTAAGACTGGGATGCTATTAAAGTTCATGTGCGTGTAAAGGCAGGTGTCCCAATACTTTTGGCAATATAATGTATGTGTGGAACGCTGGGTATCCCATTATGTGTCTGCCTAGCAGTGCCTCACTCACAGCCACTGGATACTACCCTGAGAAGCTTTCTGGTGCTTCAAGGCAGCTGCTGCTAGTGAGAAAAGTTGTACTACTCACCCACCCACTTCTGCCCTCACCACCAATCACAGAACTGGTATTACTACAATTGCACAATGCATTGCATTCTGTGAATGGTCCCTGGAATCCTATCATTCCATGACTTCACCTCCATTCACAGAAAGAAATGCAAGTTCTGTTGATGATACAGGGGCGTATCTACCACGAGGCAAACAAGGCATTTGCCTTGGGTGGCATTTTAAATTGGGCCGCACACATGGGTGTGGGCAGCAGGGCCGCCATCGGTGGGGGGGGGGGACAGCCGACAAACAAGTAGGGGAACCGGCTGCAGAGGAAGGCAGGAGGGCACTAGGAGCAGTCGGGTGCCGGAGCCTGCCGTCAGGCAGACTCCAGTTAGGATCTGCAGTGTGCACCGGGCTGTGCGGGGAGGGTGAGGCTAAGGCGTGCCAGCAGAGGGCCTGTAGAGGAAGAGGATGAAGTCAGGGGAGGAGCCCTGCAGCCCATTGTCTGCAAGCTATTTTCTTCAAAGTTTGAGCGGTTATGTCTCTTCCCCAGAGAAGCAGAATTAGTCTGTGATGGTGAAGGATCCAGTGAGGAGCTGAGAGGATGGTGTCCTGATATTCTGGGTGGTGGTGTGAGTACCAATCCCCCTGTACACTGCACACACAGAATGGGGGACTACAAGGACCAGCATAACCCCCCTCCCCCTGTGTCTGAGCAGAGACATGTATTTCTGCTACACTCTGAGTACAATGAAGGGAAAGAGCCCTGTGTGTGTCCATGACCCCCTCCCCCGGGGATCTGTGTTCTCCTACAGCTACTTAATTGTATGTCTGTGTAAAGAGGGTCTGCCATGACAATGGGCCTCAGAGTTCCCCAGTCAGCCCTGTATTCCACTGGAGTGAAGGAGAGCCAGGTGTTTTGGATGGGCTGATCCATGTGTCTGTAGATTTTAGATGAAATGACATACAGACATACTGCATTTTATCACCGCACACAGAAGGGAACTACATGTTCCCCTCCTGTCATGCTGAACCTCCCCCCTCATAACGCTGCCAACCTCAGTTTAGATGGGGGGCAACCGATTTTAGTGTTGCCTAGGGCAGCACAAACCCAAAGTACACCACTGGGTGGGAAAATGCTCCGTTCTCCCAGCGGGAATGGTGCAGATATGATCGCTATGGTTTGTGCTGTGCTGTCCCGGGTGTTTACATCCCCAGGTCTCAGTCTGTGACCACTCACCCAGTGGATGATCCATGTACACCAGGACCAATGTGCACACCTTGACTCCCACGCTGCAAAGAGAATAAGGTTTCCAATGCAGTCTGGTAAAAAAACTGATCCATCGCTCCCCTTCCTCCTCAATGTCCTATGGGAATTGTATTGCAAAGGTCCATAGGTCCCATTCTGTGATTGATGTTTCAGACTACAATTCCCATGATCATCAGTATTCTGCATAGAAGTCCATAGGCTTTTCTGAATATAGTTCTCCCTCTGCTGACTGGAATGGATAGTGCAACACAGCATTCAGCATAACAGCAGAAAGTAAACTGTAAAGAGGGAAAGGTCTCCTTCTCCATGTGTCTGCAGTCCAGCACCTGGCTACTCTTGTGATATGTCATGTGTGGTGCTGAATGTGCCCCATGCTGCTGAGAGGGACGCTGAAGCCTTCTTAGCCAGGCCAGGTTGCTGAAGCCAGGAAGTGTCCAAGAATTGGTGTACTGAATTACAGGAGCCAGGAGATCAGGTGCAAACCCAGAGAGCACACCAACAGGAAGCAAAATGGAGTACACATGCACAGTAAAACCACAGAAAGCAAGGCAAACAAAGTAGTGATTGTGTGACAGACTTGCAACAGAATGGCTAAAAAAAAAATGGTGCCAGTTTAAAAAGGTTGGGGCTCTCGCCCCATGGCTGCAACACCAAGCCACTATTTGATATCACAGTACCAGTACACCTTGTAACTTACCAAGGCAGATGTCATGGCAGACTAGCCCCATTATGGCTATGAGCATACATCTGAGGGGGTTTTCAGCTAATTCAGCAATGGCACCACGAGTCAAGGTGGGCACTAATGTCTGATCGGTGCCATAGTGACAATACAGGTGGCCCCGCATCTTCTCCAGGCGGGGTCTGGGTATTTTCCAGCTGGTCAGCAGATCCAGAAGCTGCAGCTACAGGTGCAGTCAGTTTGATAAAAGAACTCACCACATAGGAGATAAGCTTCTTCAATTAGAAATAAGACTTCCATCACTTAAGGACACTAAAATAAAACTGAGGCAATTTGAGAATGGGAGGGGCTATATGCTGCCACTTTTTTTTTTCAGTGTCCAACCACCTGAAGATTGCAGTATATAACCCATGGTTGTGATTATCCTAGTGCTATGGGAATATGCTGGTATTTATTGATGATAAAACAATCATAGTTATAATAATGATATTATATAAATACAAAGCCCATTGTTTAAAGTGAGCTTGTCATTTTAATTCAAACATTACATCAATCAATAGGGCCATGGCAGTCATTACCACATCTCTTTATTATTAACATTTAAATAAAAAAGAAAAATACTTTTTTATAACTAGAAAATGGCTGTTCCCCAGGTCTTAGTCTAAGAAGTCTAGATAAAATTGTCACTTCTATTATCAATCATTACTGAAGAGAAATAAAACCATTCAAAAGGTTGGACTCGTACATAGGTCTCTAGACTCCTGGCTTTCCCTTCAGTGCTTCCCCTTCCACTCCTCAAAGCCCCTCAGTTCTTATACTCACCTTTTCAGATATCTTCAGGCTGGTTATGTGATGCCACAGGGTCTTTTGCATCTTCACCTCATCCCAAGTCTTGGTGGTCCTCAGTGATGCAAAAAGTGACATTGATGTGGTGATGTCAACTCCATTCTCTACCCATCATGCAGTGAATGCAGGAGACCGTGTTGAAACCCTAAAACCTTGCACTCATAATATGTCCTCACTCATGAATTGAATGACACTAGGCGTCATTTAACCCAGAAGATTGAGGACATCTTGTGACAAAAAGAGATTATGGCAGGGAGCAGCTCTGGATTGATGGTGAGTGTTGCAGCCTGAGTATCTTTCTTTTAAAATCTTGCTTGGTGCATTTTAAAAAATAGCCTGGAATTTGGCTTTACGTTAATCGATTTCACATGGGTAACAAAAGCAATTAAAGAGAATATAGTTCCCATTTAAGGTTCTTACAGACATTTTCATGGTCCCAACTTTGTGGGAACAGTTTGGGGATGGCCTTTTCCTGTTCCAACATGACTGCGCACCAGTGCACAAAGCAAGATCTATAAAGACCTTGAGCGAGTTGGGGGTGGAGAAACTTGGCTGGTCCTGACCTCAACCCAATAGAATAGACTGGAATTTGGCTTTGCGTCAATCGATTTCACATGGGTAACAAAAGCAATTAAAGAGACTATAATTCCCATTTAAGGTTCTTACAGACATGTGCCTGATCGAACAGTTTAAAAAAAAGATTGAATGTCTCTAAGCCTATTGCCTCCTGGGTAATGCCTTTTCAGTAAAAGGATTTTATTGACCAGGTAGATGTTCTCTAGCCAATTGCTATTATTTTACCCCAAAAAACAAGCCAGTGTGAGAGCTTGCCGCTCCCTTCGCCATAAGTACAAATGTGTGTTCACCCAATGTGGACATGCATACTTGCATGAAAATAATTCAGCAGCTGGATCCTGCATGGTGTGGTCACCATCTGGTGTTGTAGACATATTTAGATACTGGTTGTCCCTAAATTACCAACATTACTAGGCTGTTGTTTGAAAGAAAGTAGAAAGATTTGTTGTTTATAACATCATACTGTACTTATGGGTGAAATACTCAATCTATTGTTATTCCATTGCAGGTTGTCAACACTCTGTCTATGTTATCCTGGTCTCCGATTGCTCAGAATAAGGGGTTTATGTATGTATCACAGGTTTGATGTCTTGCTTCTGGAACTGCATTTTCAACACTGGAATTAATTTACTTATATATATTATCATTTGATTTTTCTTGCCAGTCCATTTCCTACTGAAGATCTAGAGAATGACGATGACATTTACAGTGGTCTCTCCGATAAGATTGAGTAAGTCAGCCTTATCATATCTTAAGCCACTGAAAGAGGATTCTGCGAATCATTTAACAAATATTAAAAAGCATTAAATTATAATGATTCAATATTATGAAACATTTTAGGCCACCGATATGAGGGAAATTGGAAAAGATATTGTGTTTATATCTTTTTCATATTATTTCTGTCAAAATATCTTAGCAATCACATGCTATCATCTCAAACAGTGACACAGGAGAGGAAGATGAAGATCTCTATGACTGTGTTGATATGGATGAAGAAGAAGGCAATGAAATATATGAAGATCTCATGAATGATGACCAACCTCCTCCAAAAAAAGATGGGGTAAGCACAGATGTATAGATTTTACAGGGGGTATAAGAGATGGGGACTGGGTGTAGAGATTAAAGGGAACCATATTCAGGAGACGCTTTCTTATCTGTGATCCTTAACAGAAAATGACTACAGAAGATATGAAAAAGATGCTGCCTCCAGGAACTGTACCAGACAGAGGAGAAATACTCAGACACACTTGGATCCATCTGTCAGGTAATTACAGTTAGGTCCACAAATATTGCGACATCGACACAATTCTAACATTTTTGGCTCTATACACCACCACAATGGATTTGAAATGAAACGAATAAGGTGTGCTTTAACTGCAGACTGTTAGCTTTAATTTGAGGGTATTTACATCCAAATCAGGTGAACGGTGTAGGAATTACAACAGTTTGCATATGTGCCTCCCACTTGTTAAGGGACCAAAAGTAATGGGACAGAATAGTAATCATAAATCAAACTTTCACTTTTTAATACTTGGTTGCAAATCCTTTGCAGTCAATTACAGCCTGAAGTCTGGAACACATAGACATCACCAGACGCTGGGTTTTATCCCTGGTGATGCTCTGCCAGGCCTCTACTGCAACTGTCTTCAGTTCCTGCTTGTTCTTGGGGCATTTTCCCTTCAGTTTTGTCTTCAGCAAGTGAAATGCATGCTCAATCGGATTCAGGTCAGGTGATTGACTTGGCCATTGCATAACATTCCACTTCTTTCCCTTAAAAAACTCTTTGGTTGCTTTTGCAGTCTGCTTTGGGTCATTGTCCATCTGCACTGTGAAGCGGCGTCCAATGAGTTCTGAAGCATTTGGCTGAATGTGAGTAGATAATATTGCCCGAAACACTTCAGAATTCATCCTGCTGCTTTTGTCAGCAGTCACATCATCAATAAATACAAGAGAACCAGTTCCATTGGCAGCCATACATGCCCACGCCATGACACTACCACCACCATGCTTCACTGATGAGATGGTATGCTTAGGATCATGAGCAGTTCCTTTCCTTCTCCATACTCTTCTCATCCCATCTGGTACAAGTTGATCTTGGTCTCATCTGTCCATAGGATGTTGTTCCAGAACTGTGAAGGCTTTTTTAGATGTTGTTTGGCAAACTCTAATCTGGCCTTCCTGTTTTTTAGGCTCCCCAATGGTTTACATCTTGTGGTGAACCCTCTGTATTCACTCTGGTGAAGTCTTCTCTTGATTGTTGACTTTGACACACATACACCTACCTCCTGGAGAGTGTTCTTAATCTGTCCAAATGTTGTGAAGGGTGTTTTCTTCACCAGGGAAAGAATTCTTCAGTCATCCACCACAGTTGTTTTCCGTGGTCTTCCGAGTCTTTTGGTGTTGCTGAGCTCACCGATGCGTTCCTTCTTTTTAAGAATGTTCCAAACAGTTGTTTTGGCCACGCCTAATGTTTTTGCTATCTCTCTGATGGGTTTTTTTGTTTTTTCAGCCCAATGATGGCTTGCTTCACTGATAGTGACAGCTCTTTGGATCTCATCTTGAGAGTTGACAGCAACAGATTCCAAATGCAAATAGCACACTTGAAATGAACTTTGGACCTTTTATCTGCTCATTGTAATTGGGATAATGAGGGAATAACACACACCTGGCCATGGAACAGCTGAGAAGCCAATTGTCCCATTACTTGTGGTCCCTTAACAAGTGGGAGGCACATATGCAAACTGTTGTAATTCCTACACCGTTCACCTGATTTGGATGTAAATACCCTCAAATTAAAGCTGACAGTCTGCAGTTAAAGCACATCTTGTTCCTTTCATTTCAAATCCATTGTGGTGGTGTATAGAGCCAAAAATGTTAGAATTTTGTCGATGTCCCAATATTTATGGACCTGACTGTACATACACAGCAGCAGTAGACAAAATACTCTGCTAAAAAAAAGACAAAAAACAAATATAAAACCCTTACAAAAAATAGCTTGTTAAGGACTGCACTACTTAACAGTCCTCCCCACACTCACAAAACCCTACCATACTATTCCCTCATATTTATTTCCACAACATTAACACCTCTGTGCAGTCCTCCCCATGCTTACACAAACCCTGCCACGCTGTCCCCACACACATATTTCCGTACACATTAAGTAAATATATAATTCTCACTCTCTTATATTTCTCTCTACCTAGTCACCCTTCCCTCTTTCCATGCTGTCCCCCAATTATCCCCATTTCTCAAGTTTTATTCTTATCTCTTAGCCTATCCTCCCTTCTGTCTCCCCACATCATTCACACCCAAGAACCAGATCACTAGTTAAAAAGTAAAAGAGCTAAATATCTTGTTGTAAAAGTGAAACTAGAATTGTCTTTTTTTCCAGTTCTTTATGAAGCCCCTTCATATGTTCCTAAGTGAAAGTGAAATGACCAGTGTCTTCATCAACATAGAGGTGACTATATGCTGAGCTTGAAATGTATATATTTTGGCAGATTTGGGTGAATGCAAGTAGCACAAATAACAGATCCTTTAAATTATGTTATCCACATCAAGCAGGCTCCACACCTACTTTATGATAGGCATGGGAAATGAAGACGCAAAAAACAATTGTATACCAGTTGGTATCTTTTATTTATTTTGCTATTTACACAAAGAATGTTGGTGTTTGTTCCTGGGTTTAGACAAGGATTTTCTTGCAACCTGTAAGGGCTCATGTACACGGGACATTTGGAAAACTCTTCTGAACGATGGAAACTGACTGCTGGAAAATGTAGGTTAAAAACATCTGTTTAACCGCGTTTGCATAATGCGTTTATTTGCGTTTAGAAGCGTTTTTAAAAGATAACCTCAGGAGACCTTCCCATATGCCAAGAATGCACTGAAAAATAGTAAATAATTAACTATTTCAGAAATTTTGAGAGAAATAGAGAGAGCAGAAGCAGAGAGAGCAGTATGTGTTGAGATGACCTGTCTTTTCTGGTTGTATTCACTATGGATCCCATCATGAGAATAATGCAGCACGTTCTACCATTTTTTTCCTTCACGTGAAACCTGAAACTGACTGCGCTGGTGTACCGGGTCCATTTGAATACATGGAAAACACTTTGCATGCATTTCTGATGATGAAAAAAGGCACTGGATAGCATCTGGACATGGAACAGTTAAAAATGCTTCTAAACACGGTCAACTGCGTTTACAAACGTTTGCCGTTTGAAACGCTGGTAAAATCTACTCCTGAACGCAAGTTTGGTGCTTTAAAAAAAAACGACTGTAAACTCATCTGCCTGTAAACGACATACATGGACACATAGGAAAACATTAGGGAGAGTTCAGGGGCTGCTGAAAAAACATTGAACAGCTCCTGAATGTGAGTTTAGCAACTGCAGTGTACATGAGCCCTTAATGTTAGGAGGATGCCTGTGCAACTTCTGTACTGTACAATATATATACTGTACCAATATTCAGCTGCATAAATCATGTACAAATGCATATTTTCATAATAACATGCAAAAAAGAAATTAGTGGGGGAGATTTACTAAAACTGGAGCACTCAGAATCTTGTGCAGCTGTGCATGGTAGCCAAGCAGCTTCTAACTTCAGCTTGTTCAATTAAGCTTTGGCAATAAGACCTGGAAGCCGATTGGTTTCTGTACAAAGTTGCACCAGATTTTGCACTCTCCAGTTTTAGTAAATAACCCCAATGTGCAAAAAATGTTAACATGCAAAATAATTTTCACAAACAACAAATGCAAACAAAATGTAAATCTGACAGTGTCCACATTGACACCGGGTACCGGTGATTGACAGCGGAGGCGTACACCCCTATCCGGGAATGCAAAATCATGTATATATAAGTGATTTTGCGCACCCCTGCCACCCTATAGCAGTATTTCTACTATAGGGCGGCAGGAAAGCGTTTAATAAAAGTTTTTGTTCTTGGAGTTCAGTTAAGTAAAAAAGAGTCGTGGAATTTGTAAGTTTTCTGTGCTGTAGTAGAAGAATGCTCTATTTTTGCAGTGTATGATATGTATGGTTATCTATAGTATAAGCTTTTTTTTAAAATTAGATTATTTTTATTGAAGTTTCAACATTACTCTGTGATCAATGAGTATTACTGACGGGGAGGAGAACTGTATGTAAAGAATAGAGTTCTCTACCCTGTCAGCTCTTGCACACTGCTTTGTATGGCTCTGCATAGCAGAGCCATACAAATCAGTGTGCTTACAGTTGAAAGCACATACACAGCTTACTGTGAAATAGCACACAGTTAACCCTTTGATTGCCCCACATGTTAACCCCTTCCTGCCCAGTGCCATTAGTATAGTGTCAGTGTTTTTTATTAGCACTCATCACTGTATTGTTGTCACTGAGGATGTCAGTGACACCAAGTCAGTTCCCCCTAGTGTCAGAATATCCAGCTCAGTCCCGCTAAAAGTTGCTGATCGCCACCATTACTATTAAAAAAAAAATTCCAGTGTATATGCCGCCATTTGTAGACGCTATAACTTTCATGTAAACCAATTAATTTACATGTACTGGGATTTTTTTTTTAGCAGAATACATTTTGGCCTAAATTTATGCCGAAATTTGATTCTTTTAAATTTTTTTACTGGACATGTTAAATAGCAAAAAGTCAAAAATATAGTTTTTTTTTTCTCAAAATTATCGGTCTTTTTTTTCTATAGCGCAAAAAATAAAAATGCACAGGCAATCAAAAACCACCAAAAGAAAGCTCTAATCATGGGAAAAAAAAGGTAATCAGTTTCATTTGGGTGCAGCATTGCATGACCGCACAATTGTCAGTTAAAGTAATGCAGCACCGTAATGCAAAAAGTGGCCTGGTCAGGAAGGGCAAGTGGTTCAAATATATTTTTTTACAGCCACAAAGGATAAAAATGTACTTGGTGTGCATCAAATGCCTTTGCAGAGTCAATTATAAAACTGAGAAAATTTTAATTTTATGAAAAAAATAAGGTAATTGTGAAATTGATAGCAGCAACAAGTCTCAAAAAAGTTGGGAAGGGGAAATAAAAGCTGCCAAAACACAACCCCAATTCCAAAAATGTAGGATAGGATCATGTTTACCGCAGTGTAGCATCTCCTCTTTTAACAATGCTCTGTAAATGTCTGGGAACTGAGAAGACAAGTTGCTGGAGTTTTTGGGGAGGAATGTTGACCGATTCTTGTCTGCTCTAAAACCTGGATACACAGTATCTTTAATATACAGTATCTTTGAGTATTGATGGTGCTTTTCTAGATGTGCAAGCTGTCCATTCCATACACACTAATGCACCCCCATACCGTCAGAGATGCTGGCTTTTGAACTGAGCGCTGATAACAAGCTGGAAGTTCCCCTGACTCTTTAGTGCAAAGGATGTGGCGCCCATGGCTGCCAAAAAATGAATGTCAAATTTGGATTAATCTGACCACAGAACAGTTTTCCATTTTGCAACAAACCATTTTAAATCAGCTTTGGCCCAGAGAAGACGGCAGCGTTTCTGGATCATGTTCTTGGATATGGCTTCTTCTTTGTATGATAGATCTTTACCTTGCGCTTTTGGATGTCACAGCAAATTGTGTTCAAAGATAGAGATTTTTGGAAGAATTCCTGAGTCCACTCAGTGATGCCCATCACAAAATCATGCCTGTTTATGCAAATTCTTTATTTAAAGTATCCAGTATTCATAAAGAACAATGGAACATCCAGTAGAAAGCCAAGTTTACATAGTAAAACAGTAATATTCCACACTTTGTCAAAAAAAAAACCCGCAGCATACAGTGTATACATCATAAAGTGCAGATAGAACCAATTAAGGAGATCCAACTACAGTATGGGCAATCTATTATGCCTGTTTTTAATGCAGTGCTGTCTCAGGGCCCGAAGATCATTGGCATCCAATATTGCATTTTGGTCCTTGTTCCTTGAGCACGGAGACTTCTCCAGACTCTCAGAATCATTTGATGATATTATGATGATATATTTAAGGTCTTTGCAATTTTACATTGAGGAGCATTATTCTGAAAAATTTCGACAATTTTTACACACAGCTTTTCACAGATTGGCTATCTTTACTTCTGATACACTCTGATTCTCCAATATGCTCTTTTTATACCAAATCATGTTACCGACCTATTGCCAATGATCCTAATTCGTTGAATAATGTTCTTCCAGCTCTTCCTTGTTAGTACCACTTACTTTGCCAGCTTTTTGTTGCCCAGTTCCAACTTCTCTGAGACGTGATGCTGCCATCAATTTCACAATCACCTTTTTTTTTTTTTAAAATGGTACATCTTCTGTAATCATTTGATATGATTTTTATATTCTATTGTGAATAAAATGTGTTTACAAGATTTGTAAATTATTGCATTCTGTTTTTATGTAGATTTTACACAGCGTTCAAACTTTTTTGGAATTGGGGTTGCAATATATATACTGTATAATATATATATATCATATATATATATATATATGATATATATATATGATATATATATACATTTCTTGTGCATTACTGAACCAGAACTAGCATCTAGTTAACTTCCAAAGTAGCAGGACGCTGAACATCCAGATCACTCTTCTTTTCTGACATCAGTGTGATTGTATCTGTAGTAGGTGCTTGCAGAGTGGTTTAGAGGGGCTTTGGTGTAGGAGCGTTTAGTCAGAATCTTTTCAGCTACGGTAGGTTGCTTTGATGGCCAGGGGCTGAGTGTTTGATTGACACCTGCATCCAAATAACGATGATGACAGAAAGAAGATATCCTAAAGTGAACCTGGAGACCCTATGGATTTTGCTAATGTCCACCAATAGTTTGCCTATAATAGTGATGGGGGTAACATGGATGACCTTTGACTGTTACACCAGAAGTCTGAAGTGATCATGGAGGGCCCTACCTGTTATTATAGGGGTAAACATGCTCTAGAAGTAACTTCATTCACTGGGGGCTGAGGCTAGAAGTGGTTGTCACCAGACCTGAAAGATGCTGTTTTACTGGATTCTCCAAAATGTTGTGAGGATCTACAGTGTATACTGTATCAGATGGCTGTCTGGTGTATGGTGAAGCACATTCTCCAAGGGTACCATCAGATACTTAACTGGAAGAACTTCTATGGATTTAAAACCCAATTCCCTCCTGTTGGCTTGGAAATATTGGGTAAGCAGTTTGTAATGCATCTGGTTTCCTGTGCAGTGGAAGCAGATCTGGCCACCAATTCTCACATTTTAAGAATTATTTCACATGCCTTTCCAATAAAGTGGAAGCATCTGGGGAAGATAGTTACATAGTTAGTCTGGCTGAAAAAAAGACAAACGTCCAATCAGTACAACCATAGAAAAAAAAAAAGTTATAATCCTATACCCACAGTTGATCCAGAGGAAGGCAAAAAAAAACCTCCCAGCAAAGCACGATTTAATTTGCTCCTGCTAGGAAAAAAGTTCTAACTACCTTTCAAGATTTGGACTAAATCTAAACTCAGACAACTGTAATTTACTCTATTCTTCCAATAAATACTTGGGACAAATAGTCGAACACAATGCAGTAAAACCCAACCCTAACTAAAGCAGCACTCTTCAGAACTGACCTCCACTTTATACCATTGCCAAAGAAAAGAGCTTTTTTGGTAATGGTAGGATGAATCTTAAAGATGTTTTATAAAGGACTGTGAATTGTTAGTTACTCCTATCTGGGTACCAATCATTAGCATAAAAAAAAGTGTTGCCGAAGGTCCCACACAGAAGAAAGTAGTCTTTGCGTCCACCTGATATTGGCAAGTTTATTTTTTAAACTTTTTTTTGGCTGGCGAAGCAATCACTGACAGAGTAGGAATATAACCTGTGAGGTTTACCTAGGAATCTTTCCCAAGTTGTTGTTATAGCTTTTCCATGCATGAAAGCATTCTGTGACCAAATAAAAAGAACCACTATATTTGACGACATTACGTATTTGTCTAATTCAATATGATTTTTAAATCTATTCAGCACTACAGTGTGCAACTACATGATCTCTCTCTGTTTCAGGATTTAAGAAAACTTCATCAAGACTTTCTGGCAGAAATGAAGTCATGCATCTCACCCAAAAACACACACAGCTTGTATCAAGTTTTCCTCCGCAATAAGGAGAAGTAAGATCTTCATATGTTTTCAGGCTTATACTGGAAAATAGGCATCTGAAACACAGTTCTATAAATGTAAAGTCGTCTTTATTTGTTACCAAACACAAACCAGGGTTTTTTTTTAAGAGCAAGCAAAACTTATCAGTTTCTTTTCAGTGCATAACAGTCTCAAAACACAGCAAAGCACTTTGCTTCAGATTGTAAAGTTTATCTCACAGGGCTCACCAACCAGGAGAAGCTCTGAGATATGCAGGTATTTTAGGGACCTCTAGAGTCTAGTCTTACAAATACTGTAGCTCTCTCCTCTTCACCCAGAGCCCCTGACTCAACTGTTTAAAGTGGAGCTCCACCCAAAAGGGGTAGTTCCACTTTAAGGATTGGCCCCTGCTCCCTATTAAGGAATGACACCTTTGAGGGGGGCTGGAGTGGATACCCAAAACTGACAGGTACCCACTCCCACTTCCGCTGTGATTGCCTAGGCGACTACAGGACCATTCACAAAGCGCAGTGCTATTCGGGCATGCGCAGTGGGTACCCGGCTGTGAAGCTGCAAGCTGTCACAGCTGGGTGCCCACACTGAAGATGCCGGTGCCAGGAACACAGGGCGGCCAGTGAAACTGGCTGGGGGGGGGGGGAATAGCGCGGGACCAAGGGACAGGTAAGTGTTCATTTTTTAAAAGTCAGCAGCTACAGTTTTTGTAGCTGCTGACTTTTATTTTGTGTTATTTTCACTGGAACTCCACTTTACGGGCTTCTTTACAGGGGTGGCAATAAAAATAGGCAGTTGAACTATGGTTTTACCACTCTTACCCTTAAAATGCAACAATGGCCATATAGAGGCTTGCAGTTTCAACATTGTTTTCCCATTCAAAAGACCCATTCAAATGTCAAAATAACCAAGAATTTAGGAAGTAGCAGTATGGCTTTCTGAATGCCTGGCAGCTGCTTCTGTACTGCTCTCTGAAAAGTGATCCACCAGAAGAGGTAAGGGCTGCTACCTGGGTGAATGAGCCTTCCCAAATGAACCCTTCTAAGCCTTGCTCCATATTGATGCTCCACAATGTGTATTGCATAGTCACAAGGACAGATTCTACCATTCAAAATTGAAATTTTTATTTTCCGTTCTGCTAAACTTTTATAATTTATGTTGCTGTCCATGTTTGTTCAAACTTTCATAAGAACCACAAAGTGTTCTTTCCCTATGGAGCATATGAATATGAAGAAGATTTGTATTTTGTAGTGGATACAGTTATATGTTCAGTTTTTGTGAAAACACAAACAGAATATTATCTCATAATTGAGTCGCACTCATTTGACATTTTGGAAATGGTCAGATAATATACCATTGCTCAGGTATAAACCCAGGTGTGTAATCATATAAAACTGAATATATATTCTCATGGTATATGGAGGATCTTTTGATGGCTAAAGCACTATATGTATTTTTATGTGACTGCCATATAACTGTAAAGTACATTACACAATCCTAATTTTCCTTACACTTACCAATACTATGTTTTTGGGTTAAGAAATATATACTTTATAAACAACACCTACATGTATGGTATTTCCATCCAACAGGTTTCTAATTTATGGTCAATACTGTAGTCAAGTAGAATCTGCCTCTAAAATGTTGGATCAGACATCACAGGAACACGAGGATGTCAAGATGAAGCTTGAGGTAATTTGTGGTGATAAAACAAACAGAATATCTTCTTCTCCAGATTTTATCTGGGATTATAGCCACAGATTATAGCCACAGATAGCCACAGTGGGATAAAGTAAAGACCAAGGCTTGTTGGTGCAATTGTGTTCGGATAACACCTGATAAACTGGTGTTTGAGGTGTCTATTTATACTTTTAATTATTTGTGTACATGGAGACAGCAGTTTTGATCCTCTTATCTACATGCTTTTGCAAGCAATAGGGGTTGTGCAGTTATGATTGGCAGCTACAACCATGTGATCTAGGGTGATAAAATGCAGTCTATCCACGATAGAAACAAACCAAAAAAAACTACAAGCAGCTACTCAATCGTCTATACATTAAACTCAAAAAAGCAGCACTAATCAATATTAGATAAACATTCAAAAATAAATAAAGTGCAAGTAAATAAAGCATCTGATCAATATATTGTGCATTAAAAAAGATTAAAGTGCATAAAGTCCAAAGTGCAAATATTAGAATATGTGCAAAAAGTCCATTTTGAATATATAAATTAAGTAAGTCCAATATTAAAGTGCTAAAATAAAAGCGATCCACAAATGTGCAACCAATTACTCTTCATATGTGAAGTGGTGGAATAAACTCAAACACCAGTTGTCTTTCGCCTTTTACCAGAAATGGTGGACCATCATATTATAAATGGTCAAATGCGCCCATGAAACTCCTCCATGGGTAACATCTACTCAGCACAGAAGCAGAAATCCATCAACAGTAAGAGATAGAAAAAAAATTCACTCATCTGCTCTAGCAAGGCAGCAGGATGAAAATGTTTTTTCAAAGCTTTGAGTAATCGATCTGTCATCCGACAAGTAATAAGATCCGAGGTCAGATGTCAGTAAACACTGACAGAAATATTTCAAACTACACGCACAGTTCGCTAACAGCTTCCTTGTTATTTGCTATTGTTCACTACTGAATAGGGACAGCCTGAGATGCAGCACGACCGGCCAATCAGCATGTGATCTAGGGTGCCTAGGTTGGCTGCTAGGGAACATCAGTTTTTTTATTCATGGCAAGGAACAGGTCATTTTGTAGTTGAAATAATGTGATTTGGCCAGAGGCGGACTGACAACTCATGGGGCCCCTGGGCAGTAGGGGATCATGGGGCCCTGTGTCCTCACCCACACTCAAACCACACCCAAAAAAGCCTATGAAAGGTACTAGGGGCATCTCATGGGGCCGCCTACTGACCCTGGGCCCTCGAGCAGTGCCCGAATTCCCAAATGGTCAGTCCCCCCCCAGGATTTGGCAATGCTGCCATGTGCCCTACTGAATGATTGAAGGTGTGAGTGTCCATAAATCACTTTATACAACTGGACCATCTGTAATTGTGCCTTTGCTGGAATAGTGAGCAGTAAGGACAAAACAATCCATAAGATAAACAATATTTACTTTAAATATCAATAGTACTATTGCCTAAATTAGTTTTTATACGATATTCAATACACCAAAACTGATAAACATGCTATTGGCTGAGTATAACACCCATGTTGCTGACTTTATTTCAGGAGAACAGTAGCAAAGGCTGGGAAGCCGCCCCAGAAAACTGATTCTTCACTGAGATCCTTTTGACAAGTGGTATCTGAAGTTTACATACTGTCCCACATGTACAGTATCGTAAGATAAATAATCATTAGCTGGTTCCAGAATAATCGGCTGAATCAGCATTGACACAGCCCCAGATGATTCACATTGGCTCACAATTGATATGATCCAAAAATATTTAGACAGTATAAAGGTGAATAAAGCACCTGGACCGGATGGCATACACCCACGGGTCCTTTAAGAATTGAGCTCTGTCATTTCAAAGCCATTGGTTCTAATTTTTAGGGACTCTTTAATGACTGGCATAGCACCACTGGATTGGCGTAAGGCCAATGTGGTGCCTATATTTAAAAAAAGGGTTCAAAATCTTTATCAAGTAATTATAGACCTGTTAGTTTAACTTCTATAATTGGGAAGATACTGGAGAGTTTATTAAAAGACCACATAGATGAGTTCTTGTTGGAAAAAAATATTTTGGATCATGCTTTGCTGGGTTTTTTTGCCTTCCTCTGGATCAACTGTGGGTATAGGATTATAACTTTTTTTCTATGGCACCAATAATCTTATGTCTTTTTGGTAACTAAATATTTTAGAAATGTTCTAGTTAACATTTTAATTAACATTTAGTTAACATTTTAATTTATGCAAAAGGTCCAAAGCAGCTATATATCTGGTTTTTCAGGAATGTTCTCAAAGGGCAAACAATGGTCGTTTCTCTCTACGGGATTTGCTGATGGTGCCCATGCAACGAGTTTTAAAGTATCATCTTTTGCTGCAGGTACTGGTATCTGTTTATTATAAGGAATATCTACTGAGCTACTTATATAGCCAAGTTCTCATTGCTCTTTGCCTATTCCATCCAGGAGCTGGTAAAACACACAGTGGAACTGACAGAGAAGGAGAATTTAAAGCAAGCACTGGATGCCATGAGGGTAAAGAATTTGTATATACAGAATATTGAACTAAATGTTCAATGTTGAGGCATTATAAACTAAATAACCTGAAAATTTTAGCTATACAATTGTATATGAAATGTTCAGTTTATAAATAAAATATGTACATGTGGTTTCTCCCTAGGATTTGGCTCAATGTGTTAATGAGGTGAAAAGGGACAATGAGATGTTGAAGCAACTTACTACCTTCCAGTTATCTATTGAATATTTGGTATGCCTGTGATGATAAATTCATATTGTTCTGATTGAAAATGCAAACATCCTTGTAAAACTTGATTTATGTAGAAGAAAAATGGATGTATAAAATGAATGCTCTATTGAATTTAGAGATAGTGGATATTGTGCTGAGTGGTGGTGGTGGTGGAAGGAGGGGGTAATGGCAGAGCTCCATGTTCAGTGTAGTAAACACCTGTTACTGAATGGGGAATCCTGGAGTGGTCTACATAATGAATGATAACACTAGAACACGTACAGTCATGGCCAAAAATATTGGCACCCCTGCATTTCTATTAGATACTGCACCACTTCACCCAGAAAATGGTTGCAGTTAAAATGCTTAGGCATTCTCATGTTTATTTATTTTGTTTGTATTGGTATAAGACAAAAAAATTGAAAAACAAAAAGCCAAAACAGACACAAAAAATTTTTTTTATGAAAAAGGTGGACCTTTATTGAAAAGTTCTTGCACATTATGACACATCATTCATTTTTACTGCAAACTTGTACAGTTCCTCAAAGATCTACTTTAAGTACAAGCTTTAGTTCAAATATATTTTTTTTTTGCTGACAAATACAGATGGGCAGAAGAATAAGGGTAAATATATATATATATATATATATATATATATATAAACCTGCGCTAATAGGAACCACAATGAATAATCAATAATCTAAAATGAGGTGTAAAACATATAGCAGCTGAACACAAAAACCCTGATACTAGGCAATCCACAATAGATACATAAAAGTGCAGTGCTTAAACAGTTACAAATAATCATAAGAAAACAGTGAAAATGTGTCAAAAAATAGTCCATCCAGAAATAAAATAAAAGTCCCAGAGGCTGTGATGAAACAAAAGAAAACCAAAGACAGTTGTCGTGTCCCCAACCACTACTACAGAAGGCTTACCAGAAAGGCATGACCCCCTGTTAGGAGTAGTAAATTATGCTTTGTTAAACAATCCAGAAAGCTGGTCACTGGAATCCTCCTCCAGATCACCAAAACAGCAGATAAGGATCTTCCAAACAATAGACTTTAATTAGGGTAGCTAAACCATTCAGGATAAAGCTTGGACTTGTAGTGGAAAACATGCAAAGAAAGAACGCTCCACATAGTGTACAACCATAATCACAACATGTATGTAAAGTATGGTTGCACTCACATGTAAGCAAACATCATTAGGCATTGACTGGCGAAAAAAATCCAAATTTTCCAGTTTCCAAAATGGCCACCGGCCATTTGTGCATGCGCAGTTGTGTGTGTGCGTGGCTCCACCCCTTGGACTATTTTTTTTTTTACACATTTTTCACTGTTTTCTCATGATTAGAAGAATAAGGATATCTGAGCAAAATTCATGTGCCAAACATTCCTGGAAATGAATGGTCTTGCATGAACTAAGGCTTCAGCTATGGAAGATACAAATACAGAGAAAATATTGTGAAACCTTCTAATACAACATCAATATATAGACTGAAGTTTCCTAGTTCATTTTACAGTGATGGTTTTGTTACAATGAAATTTAATCAGTGATATGGAAATCTGAGGGTTCAAAAGTAGGGTTAGAAAAATGAAAGGTCAGATGAGAAAAATGATGAATGTCTGCTTTTCTGATTTACCATTGAGTGCCCTCACTATTGTCTCTGTCATGTGAAGATGGTTAGCATTTTGACCGGGTATAATGTTGGCTCTTTAGACAGAATCTCTTGCACTTTATGGAAGACCAAAGACAGATGGTGAATTGAAGATCATTACTTCAGAGAAAAAGTCAAAACTGGACAGGTAAACTGATATTTCTCTCTCCACAGTGAATCCATGCTGAATAATTTGTAGTGTTGAAAAAGAGTAGCTCTGTATAAAAGAAATGCACATCAAATGATATCATAGCAAAGTAACTGAGGATGTGGTTCTGTATGTGCAAAGTCATTCATTATAATTATAGTGGGGCAGCCCCTTTGGTTAACATGTAAAGCAATCAAATATTATAAACTAACAAGTATCAGAATGCAGGCAGCTTGTGGTGCCTTCAAATAGGTTTGTTAATCCTCAGCTAGTTTTCTTTGGGCTTGGGAGCACCTTGGATCTAAGGCTACGTTCACACATAGCCTTGTGTGCAGGCGGCAGAGAGGCGTTTGGGAAGCGTTTTTTACCGCTTCCCAAACGCCTCTGCCAATTCTGCACTACAGCACATGGTGCTGTTCTAACGGGAGCGTTTGCATCGCATCGCGGCAAAACGGACGCCTCTGGACGAGTCAGGAGGCTTTGAAGCCTCCTATTCTCGTCTATGGTGCCGCTCCGCAAACGCCCGGCCGGCGTTTGCGGTGCGGTTGCGACGCGGTTGCGGGGCGTTTGCGGAGCGGGGTTAACACCACTCAAACTGCATTATAGGCGTTTGTGGGGCGTTATTAACTCGGCAAACGCCTAGCAACCGCCGCTAAACCGCGCATGCAGCGTTTGCGGAGCGTTTGCCGAGCGTTAAAAACGCTCAGCAAACGCCGGACCAACGCTTGCCAAACGCTATAGGGGCGTTTGGCAAGCGTTGGCAAAACAGCCAAGTGTGGAACGAGCCCTAAGGCTCACACTCTATACAGAGACTTGATTCCTGCATGCACTAAGGAGTTAAGAGTCACTCCTTTCTGGAGTTGAGCCCTGATTCCAACATTTAACAGTCCAGTGTGAGCACCTCAGTGGTCAATAAAAGCTCCCACATTGGGATTTTTTTAATAACTTTATCTTCATTAACTTTTTATATTAAAAGACAAAAGAGACATAAAGGAGGGGATTTACTCAAACTGGAGCACTTCCAAGCTGCATGGTAGCCAATCAGCTTCTAACTTCAACTTGTTCAACTAAGCTTTGACATTAAAACCTGGAAGCTAATTGGTTTCTATAGAACACTGTACCAGATTTTGCACTCTCCAGTTTTAATAAATCAGTTTCAAAATGTTAAGATACAGCAAATAAAACATCCAATAAATGCTGGATTATAGTAGCACACAGGGGACTGACAACTCATGGGGCCCCCGGGCAATAGGGCATCATGGGGCCCCTGTGTCCTCGCCCACACTCAAATCACACCCAAAAAAGCCTATGAAAGGTATCAGTGGCATCTCATGGGGCCCCCTACTGTCCCCGGGCCCTAGGGCAGTGCCCGAGTGCTCAAATGGTCAGTCCGCCCCTGGTAGCACATGCACAATGAGAGTATATGGTACATAGAACATTGAGCCAAGAGAAAAAAATATAACCAATAACGGTCCAGCATAGAAATTAAAGTGTCTCTAAACCCACAACAGTAAAAATCAGTAAAGCATGCTGGTTATACTCACTGTGGAACCTAAGGGATTAATCCTCTGTATTGTGTAAAAATGCTGTTTGATCCTGACTTCTCTGATCTTCCTCTTCTTCCAGTGTCCCCCTCTTATCTCCTGATAAGGCATATCAGGTATAGACACTCTGCACATGTTCAGTTAGGTGTCTATTGCTAGAGAGAGTTTTTTTCTCTTGGGAGAGTGCATGCAATCAGCACTGTCCAGACAGAGGTCACAGGTCCTGCATCTTCCAAGAGCACAAGCTTTAACCAGTGCTCTGCTGGACACTGATAGAAGTCATACATCCTCCCTCATACCACTTCATCCCCCCCAGCCACTTCCTACTGTACCTTTACCCCCTCCCTCCTAGATTGTAAGCTCGTAAGAGTAGGGCCCTCTTACCCCTCGTACGCTGTCTGTCTTTGTTGTACTGTGCCATGTATTGTCCCCCCCTATTGTACAGCGCTGAGCAAACCCTTTGGCGCTATTTAAACTCGTAGTAATAATACTAATAATAATAATAAGACCGCTCTAACTGCTGTTGAGAAAAGGTATTTAGCAGGCTATATTTACTAAAATAATTGCATTTCCATGTTCTGTGTACTGTGGGAGACCAGATATACAGAATGCTGCAGGGTTCTGGGTTTAGTAACACTTTCAACATAGCAGTAATATCAGGCACATATTGATATAAATATAAATCCAAGAACCAAGAGTAAATGGATATAGAAAAAACATCCTATGTAAAGATGTTCAAGTACAGTATATAATGGAAGACTGAAAAGCCTATTGCAGATTAAAGCATAAGCTCACCTTTCATAACATGTTACAGGTTGCATGCATTTTCAGGGTGTAACATGTTATGGATGGAAGCCGCACCCCCCCCCAACCCCCCCCCCCAACCCCCCCCCCCCCCCCCCCCCCCCCCCCCTCGGCCGATCCCCCACTTTGACGGCTAGCGGGGGATTCCCCACCTCACACACACTAGCTGTCAAATTTTAAAAAACATGGCCATTCAGGTCTCCACCCGCCCGGCCACGTCACTCCTCAGTTAATAAACTACCACAGCGCTGTTCATAAAATCTTCCTGTCAGTTTATCTGCTTGCTCGTACATCCTGTACAGGCAAACAGATATACTGACAAAGCTGCAGGAGATCTGCTTGGCACCAGCGATCACTGGTGCAATTGTTTACAGGTTCCTGCAGCCAAAAAATAATAAATGCACATTTTTTTACCTGCAAAAAAATGTGCATTTATTATTTTCTATCAAACG